GGGGGGGGGGGGGGGGGGGGGTAATCTTCTGGTTTTGGGGAGGTTTGGTCCCATTTGGGGCATTTTTTCACCAGGGCGCTGGGAAATGGGGGTTTTCCACCTCCAAAAGGTGCCCGCGGGGAAGAAACCCCCAAATTGGGGTGGGTTCCTCCAAAAGGTGCCCACAGGGAAGAAACCCCCAATTTGGGGTGGGTTTTTTAATAAAAAATGGGTTTCATGCTGCTGCCTCGAGGTGAAAGTGCTGAAAAACCCCCAAATCCCCTTTTTTTGTGTGTGTGTGCAGACTTCCCCCCCTCCCCCTTCTTAAGTGAAAATAAAAAGATTTGGTGTTTTCAGCATCAGCAGTGAAAGTGGGGAGGAAACAGGTCCAATGATATCCCTAAAACCACCTGGATTAAACCCAAATCCTGCTTGAAGGGGAGGGCATAAACCCCTCCCAGTGTCACCAGTCCGCCCAGTTCCCCCCTTTCTGCCCTTTTCCCCTCTTCTTTTCCCAAGTCGTTGCCATAAAATTTCATCATTTCATTTCTTTCCTTCCATTTCGTAACTTCCCCTGCTCTGAAAAGAGGTTTTTTCTCCCCAGAATGAAGCCGACTGGGACGTTTCTCCCCCGCCCTCCAAAAAAAAGCCACGTCCGAGGGTTTATTTAAGCTAAAAAGGGGATCTTTTTAACATAAAACGGCCTTTTTACGAGCAGAAATTATGCCCCCCCCCCCAGCCCAGTACAGAGCCTGGAATATAGGGCCGAGGCCCTATAGATGGGTATATAGGTCTGTACAGACCCCTATAGATCTGCATAGACCCCTATAGACCCACACAGACCTAGACAGACCCCTATAAGTTTGTATAGACCCATATAGGCTTGTATAGAGCCCTATAAATCTGTATAGGCCCCTATAGATCTGTATAGACCCCTATAAACCCATAGAAACCTCAATAGGTTCATATAGGCCCCTATAGGTTCATATAGACCCACATAAACCACCTGGATTTAACCCAAATCCTGCTTGAAAGGGGGCTTAAATCCCTCCCAGTGTCACCAGTCTGCCCAGTAAAGACCCCTATAGATCTTATAGACCCATATAGACGCCTATAGGTTCATACAGACCCCTCTAAGCCCTCAGAGACCCCTATAGGTTCATACAGACCCCTATAAACCCATAAAGACCTCAATAGGTTCATATAGACCCCTATAGGTTCATATAGGCCCATATAAACCACCTGGATTTAACCCAAATCCTGCTTGAAAGGGGGCTTAAATCCCTCCCAGTGTCACCAGTCTGCCCAGTAAAGACCCCTATAGATCTTATAGACCCATATAGACGCCTATAGGTTCATACAGACCCCTCTAAGCCCTCAGAGACCCCTATAGGTTCATACAGACCCCTATAAACCACCTGCATTTCTCCCAAATCCTGCTTGAAGGGGGGCATGAATCCCTCCCAGTGTCACCAGTCTACCCAGTATAGACCTTTACAGGTTTGTATAGACCCCTATAAACCCCTGTAGGTTCATAGAGACCCCTATAGGTTCATAGAGACCCATACAGACCCTTATAAACCACCCGGATTTAACCCAAATCCTGCTTGAAGGGGGGCATAAATCCCTTCCAGTATCACCAGTCTACCCAGTATAGACCCCTATAGGTTCGTACAGACCCCTATAAACCCATATAGATCCCTATAGATTCATACTGACCCCTATAAACCCATATAGACCCCTATAAACCCGCCAGATTTAACCCAAATCCTGCTTAAAGTGGGGCATAAATCCCTCCCAGTGTCACCAGTCTGCCCAGTATAGACCCCTATAGGTTCATATAGACGCCTATAAACCCCTACAGATCCCTATAGGTTCATACAGGGCCCCTATAAACCACCCAGATTTAACCCAAATCCTGCCTGAAGGGGGGCATGAATCCTTCCCAGTGTCACCAGTCTGCCCAGTATAGACCCCTATAGGTTCATATAGACGCCTATAAACCCCTACAGATCCCTATAGGTTCATACAGGGCCCCTATAAACCACCCAGATTTAACCCAAATCCTGCCTGAAGGGGGGCATGAATCCTTCCCAGTGTCACCAGTCTGCCCAGTATAGACCCTTATAGGTTCGTATAGACCCCTATAAACCCATAGAGACCCCTATAGGTTCATAGAGACCCCTATAGGTATATATAGACCCATATAGACCCTTATAAACCACCCAGATTTAACCCAAATCCTGCTTGAAGGGGGGGGGCAGGGGAGGGCATAAATCCCTCCCAGTGTCACCAGTCTGCCCAGTATAGACCCTTATAGGTTCGTATAGACCCCTATAAACCCATAGAGACCCCTATAGGTTCATAGAGACCCCTATAGGTATATATAGACCCATATAGACCCTTATAAACCACCCAGATTTAACCCAAATCCTGCTTGAAGGGGGGGGGCAGGGGAGGGCATAAATCCCTCCCAGTGTCACCAGTCTGCCCAGTATAGACCCTTATAGGTTCGTATAGACCCCTATAAACCCATAGAGACCCCTATAGGTTCATAGAGACCCCTATAGGTATATATAGACCCATATAGACCCTTATAAACCACCCAGATTTAACCCAAATCCTGCTTGAAGGGGGGGGGCAGGGGAGGGCATAAATCCCTCCCAGTGTCACCAGTCTGCCCAGTATAGACCCTTATAGGTTCGTATAGACCCCTATAAACCCATAGAGACCCCTATAGGTTCATAGAGACCCCTATAGGTATATATAGACCCATATAGACCCTTATAAACCACCCAGATTTAACCCAAATCCTGCTTGAAGGGGGGGGGCAGGGGAGGGCATAAATCCCTCCCAGTGTCACCAGTCTGCCCAGTATAGACCCCTATAAACCCATATAGATCCCTATAGATTCATACTGACCCCTATAAGCCCCTATAGATCCCTACAGGTTCATACAGACCCCATTAAACCACCCAGATTTAACCCAAATTCTGCTTGAAGGGGGGGAGGGCATCAATCCCTCCCAGTATCACCAGTCTGCCCAGTATAGACCCCTACAGGTTTGTACAGACTCCTATAAACCCATATAGATCCCTATAGATTCATACTGACCCCTATAAACCCCTATAGATCCCTATGGGTTCATACAGACCCCATTAAACCACCCAGATTTAACCCAAATTCTGCTTGAAGGGGGGGAGGGCATCAATCCCTCCCAGTATCACCAGTCTGCCCAGTATAGACCCCTACAGGTTTGTACAGACTCCTATAAACCCATATAGATCCCTATAGATTCATACAGACCCCTATAAACCCCTATAGATCCCTATAGGTTCCTACAGACCCCTATAAACCACCCGGATTTAACCCAAATCCTGCCTGAAGGGGGGCATTAATCCCTCCCAGTGTCACCAGTCTGCCCAGTACAGACCCCTATAGGTTCATACAGCCCCCCTATAGGTCCGTTTATGTCCCATAGCCCCCAGAGCACGGAGCTGAACCCAGGCCCAGGACCCTATAGCGCCATAGGGGGCCTGGCGGAGGTGTTGGGGAAAGAAATCTGAATTTGGGGGGTTTTTTAGGCTTTTGTTTGTTTGGTTTTGGCCTTTTATTCCAGAAAGAAATTCCTCCTCCGGGAGCCCCTTTTTCCCCCCCCCTCCCCGTGGTGTCACCGGGCTCCAACCTGCGCCAGAACCCACCCTTGAAATAAAAACGATGAAAAAAAAACCAAAAAGAGGGGGTTTGAGGGTTTGGAGGGGGATAAAAATGAATAAATCCAAAGGGAAGGAAGGAGGGAGGGTGTCCATCTCCCCAATTTCCCCCCCTCCGTTAACTCCAACTGGGATCGTAACCCGTCCAGTCCGAGGGGGGGGCCAGGTAAACGCGGCGCCCCCGGTAAACGAAGCTGACGATGCCGCGGTAACCGGCGCGGGGGACGCCGGATTTGAGGTCGTCCATCAACCCCAAGGCCTTGGCGAAGGCTTTGAAGGAATCGCGGCCGCTGTATTGGAGCCGGACGGCTCCCAAATCCCGGCGTCGGTTGCCTTGGAGTTCTTCCACTTTGATTTCGGGAGCGGAGTAAACTTTGGGGAGGAAAACCCGTTCGTACTCTTCCTTTTTGAGGTAAGAAAGATCCAGGCGGGTGAAAGGCACGAAGCGGTCGTTGAGTTTGATGAATTTTAAATATTGGTCGAAAAATTGGCCGTGGCTGACGCCTTTGCGGCCGAAGGTCATGGTGCGGGAGACCTCGGGGCGGACGCAGGAACGACCCCGGCGTTGCTCGGGTTGACGCATCCAATCGTCCCAAAAAGCTTTTGGCCATTTGGGTTCCAACTCATCCCAAAGCTCGGCCAAGAGCAACCAACCCAAACCGGGGAAGAAATCGGTACGGTAGAGGAGCTCGGCTTGAGAAACGTCCACCATCTGCTCCTTCCCGTTGTCGTTCCATGCGGAGACGCACCAAAGGCTGGGATCTGCCCGGAGGAGGGGAAAAGCCGCTTGGAAATACTCGTAAAAATCGGGAGCGATTTCCAAATCGTCTTCCACCACGATGGCGGCGCGGTAACGGAATGTCCGGAAGACCTGCCCTAAAGCCCAACGATAATGCCGGGCGATTTTATAATATCCTTGGAATTTACGGTGCTCGGGAGGGACCGGGATGTCGCTGAGGTCGGGCTGACGGATGTGGGAGACGGCGTCCCCGTAGGAGGCGATGACCTGGGCGGTCTCGGCGTGGCCGCAGTCCTGGCTGACGATGAGGGGGAAGCGTCGGGCCGAAGGCCTGTAACGCAGGAGTTTATCCAGGCAACGGCGCACGGTGCTGCGGTCGCAGGCCAAGACCAGCACCGGCAGCACCGGCTCGGCATCCTCCTCCTCCTCCTCTTGGGTGATAACGGGAGGAGGAGGAGGAGGTGGGGAGAGGTTTTTTGGGGGTCCCGGGGATGATTTGAGGCCTGCTTTCCGCCGGCCCCATAGCTGGCTGTAGCGGTGGATCTGGCGGAGGAGATCTTTCTGCCTTTCCAGCTCGGTTTCGGCGTCTTGAGCCAAACGGATGACTTGGGCGGTCAAACGGGAGCCTTCCTCGCCGCCGAAAGAGGAGGAGGAGGAAGGGGGGCGGCTCCAGAGGAAGAGGAGGAGGAGGCCGTGCCAGGCGATGAAGAGCGCGGCCCCCCACAGCACCAAGCTGCTCTTCTTCAGCATCCTTCAGAGCTCACGGCCACCCCATGGACCTGTGGGGAGAGAAGTGGGGGGGGAAAACATCAGAAAAGGGGGAAAAAC